CCTAAAGCATATGTGTAAGTTATGGTCAGTTACTGTTTGTATGTGGAAATTTAACTATTTTAGCACTTTTATTGAAGATAAATCTTTTCTTCATTGAGTTGATTTTGCACCATTGCCAAATATTAATTGAATATGTTTATGTTCTTTTGAATTTATTTTTCAGTTCCCTTGTTCTTTCTCCTTTCTCTATTATCCTACTGTTTTGATAACAGTAACATCATACTAAGTCTGAAAAGTCAGGTACTGTATGTCCTCTAAATGTAATCTCTCTTTGTCTTTGAATTGCTTTTCCTTATGAATTTTAGAATCAGTTTGTTTATATCTACCACACTTCAGGGTTTTTGATTGGGATTTCATTAAATCTACAGAAAAATTTGTTCTCCAGAGGGAAAGGACTGGAGATAGAAAAGGATCTTTTTTTTTCCATTATCTGTATTTGAAAGAATGGCTCTGAGAGCTCATTGCATCAGATGTAAGATAAGAACATCAACGACTTTAGTGGTCAAATGATTCCAACACTGAAAACCAATAACAAAATTTGTGTTTTCAAGCGATAAATGCTGCTACCAAGAGTTTTTAGATTTTAAAATTTTAAAAGGTTTTAGATGTTAAAATGAAAATATAGCAAGAGTACAATTTATAGCTGAATAGTGAACAGATAATTGACAGATAAGAATATTGACAGATAAGAATCTGTCTTCTTTCCTCCAGGTTCTTCTCTTTTTCCCTCTCCCATTGCCATTCCCTCCAACTCTTGTCCTTTTGTCTTTTGTCCCTTCTCTTGTTTTAGATACAACTCTGCTTTCTCTCCTACCCTAAGTCACAGTCTTTCCTCCAGAAGTTAAGATCCTTGCCTTTTCTCATGTTTTACAAGACGTAAGGTAAAGCTTGGTAATGTGAGTCATTGGTGTCCTCACAGGCTGGCCTTGCATTCAGGAGAGGGGCTGTAAGGACCATGGTTTGAATGGGGTTTGAGTGCCCATCAGGGCTGCCTATGTTGAAACTTAACAATGATTGTGAGGCATTAAGAGGGTTGAAATGTAAAAAAAAATATTATAATTTTTTTAGTTTTAAAACTTAACCATTTATTAACATTTTGCCACTTCAAATACATACACACATGTACTATTTTTTCTTGAAACAGAGATATCAACATCATAAACTGAAGGATTTATGACAGTGATCATAATGTGGGGAAACAATATACATATTAACTAATGCAAGAGAAAACATGTGATATTTGTCTTTCTGGCTGTGGCTTATTTTACTTGGCACAATTATCTCCAGTTCCATTCATTTTGTTGTAACAGACAGGATTTCATTCTTTTTTATGGCTGAGTTGTATTCCACTAATATTTCATAATATTTATATTTCTTTAACTAGTCATCAGCGACAGACATTTAGATTGATCCCATATCTTTGCTATTTTGAATTGAGCTGCTATAAACCTGGGGCATAGGTATCACTTTCATATGCTGATTTTATTTCCTTTGGACAGCTTCCTAGGAGTGGAAGAGCTGGGTCATATGGTAAATCTATTTTTAGGTTTCTGATTATTGTCCATGCTGTTTTCCATAAGGGTTACACCAATTTGCATTCTCACTGGCAATGTATTGAAGTATCTTCTCTATAACCTCACCAGCATTTGTTAATTTTGATCTTTGGATAGTGGCCCTTCTAACTGGAGTGAGGTGATGCCCCACTGTGGTTTTTATTTGCATTTCCCTGATGACTACTAATCCTGAACATTTTTTCATGTGTCTGTTGGCCATTTGTATCTCATTCTGTTCATATAATTTGCCATTTGCCATTTATCAAGTGGATTGCTTTTTTGTTGTTGAATTTCTTGAGCTCCTTATATATTCTGGGTATTAATCCTTTTTCAGATGTATAGCTTGCAAATATTTTCTTCCATTCTGTTGGTTACCTCTTCATTTAGTCAATTGTTTCCTTTGTTGTGAAGAAGCTTCTTAGTTTGATGTCATTCCATTTGTCTATTTTTATTTATTTTATTAGGCATGCCTCTGGGGTCTTACCCAGGAAGTCTTTGCCTCGGCAAATGTCATGCAGTGTGTTCCCTGTGTTTTCCTCTAGCTGTTTGATTATCTCAGTCATAAGTTTAATATTTGATCCCTTTTGAGTTGATATTCATATAGGGTACTTCTGCATGTGATAATCCAGTTTTCCCAACACCATTTGTTAAAGAGACTGTCCCTTCTCCAGGGAATAATTTTATCTCATGTGTCAAAGATCACAAAGTTGGTTGTAGATGCATAGATTAATTTCTGGAGTTTCTATTCTGTTCCATTGGTCTATCTGTTTATTTTTATGCCAGCACAAAGCTATTTGTAACAGCCTTGTAGTTTGTTTTGAATCTGGTATTTTGATGCAAGAGAGTAGAAACTTAATCAAACTAAGGTTTTTGTGTACTGATCTGAACGAATATTGTATTTGTCCCTTTGAGGTTGCTTTTAAGCTTTGTTAAGATGAGGCAGGGCAGCCTTTAGTCTAGGGCTAATTTTGCTTCATTATACTCTAGCCAATGCCACACATATTACAAATTTCACCTTGTGTCCTATGGGAACATGAATTTTTTTTTAACTTTCTTTTTTTTTTTAACTTTTATTTAATGAATATAAATTTCCAAAGTACGGCTTATGGATTACAATGGCTTCCCCCCAATACTGTCCCTCCCACCCACAACCCTCCCCTTTCCCACTCCCTCTCCCCTTCCATTCACATCAAGATTCATTTTTGATTCTCATATTATATACAGAAGATCAGTTTAGCATACATTAA